GAATGCCGACCTATCTGCTTGACATACCTAAAAAGTTACATTAATGTAAATCATCTAATATAAGGTGCTACAGAAGTGCAAAGTATCAGTATAAGTTGCAAGAAAACTTCCTTTAAAAAAAACCCAGTGGGGAAGAACAATTTTATTTTTGTGTACCAACTCAAAAAGAATGTAAGACGAATAAAAGAGCACCCAGTGCAAAAATCCTAATCTAGAATAAATATCAACAGGATTGTGCATGCGCTGCTGTGCTCACTGTTCACAAGAGAGAAGTGCTTTTTTTTTTTTTTTTTTACCCTAATAAACCATGTTTGATCATCTGTATGTCTGGGTTTACCCTCCCTTCCCTTCTCAGAGCCGTAACTTACCAGTGGGAGTAGTGACCAGTTTAGTTGTCATGATAGTCCCATTACTGCTAACCACCATAATAGGTGAATTGCTACTGCTGGGCAAGGTCGCTGTAACTGGTTTGGGAAGGATTTTACTGGGCTGCACCTGTTGAGTGATTATTTTAACACCTAGGAAAGGAGAAAGGTCACTGTTAAAATACAGGCACGAAAAGTTACGTTCTGAAACGCTTTCTCAGACCAAGCCCTAGTGGGCAAGTAGCCTCACAAGGAGCCCATGTATTCTTGATAAATATTCTGAAAATAATTTTTGTTTGGGTTGGTTTTTTGCTTGGCTTTTTCTGGTTTTGTTTTGTTTTGCAAATAACAAGACAGTCATCATCTTTGCCTTTCATGTGCCTGTTTCAATTCCTAGCTACTCCCACTTTGGCATAGGATTCCATTCCATCATTGATTTGTTGTAGTGATTTTTAACCTTTTCTGGTCCGTGATTCAAAAAATAGGATGTTTCCCAGGAACCAACAGGTTACAACCAATACTGAATTGGTACACAGACAATGAACCACCTAAAAGTGAAATAGTTCATCAATTTAGGCTGTAAATTCTAATGTGTCTTAATTAGCCTAGTTGAATCTCATCCCTCTGAACAAATTAAATAAAGCTTTTTGCACAAAGAGCATCAGTTGGTGTAAGGAAGCAACTGTGACACTGGCTAGGGAAGGCTGCTTTAAGTAAACTGCTCTCTTTCCTCATGATTTATTGGTTATCTTGAAGCCACAAAGGAACTGGGCTGAAACAAGCTCTGAGTAGAATCAGCAAAAACAAAGGAAGAGGACACCTTAGTACAGCCAGGATTCTGCTCCCTCTCTCTTGATTTGTGTAGTAGAATGGGACCTCTGCGAGATTCACTTCTCAGTTGCAAATCAGGAGATTCATGTCATCTGTTCAAAAGTATATCCAGGACACTTGCATCTTACATTCTGTTCCATGACAAGGTAAATGTATTGCATTGGGTTGGTAAAATGCCATTAAACACCCAGGCTGAATTAATCCCGTCTAAATGTAGGGACTTGCACACATATATTTCTAGGTGTACAATTTTGTCCACTCGGGATGTGAAACATGCTCTGGAGATGTTTTCTTCTTTCTGCGGTGACTATAGAAGCAGTACGGAGCAAGTAAGCTCCAATCTTAAATAATGATGTTAGGAAAGAGAAATTGAAGCCTTTGCATCATCCAGACACAAAACTGGATAAAAAGCAAAGTCTATGTGAAAATTGATTCACATCTTCCAGAAAGAATAGGTATCAGACGGTATTTCCAAAGAAACTTTAACTAAAAAGAACATTTGAGCCTAAGCCCATAGTAGAAGGCAAGGAGTGAAGCTCTTATTGATCAAATACTGTTCAGTGACTGGAGGATGGAGGCCTCTTATCCATCTTCACTAGTGGATATTTTTTCTTAGGCAATGGTCCTATAATCCAAAAGGAAATTTATCAAAGGACAGCAGTAGGGCTGTTTATTTTTTCACTCTCTGGTCTATTTTAATTCTTTTATCTAAATAGTATGAACATAAAATAGTAATTTTACTGATTTTACTAATAATTTCACTAACCATTACTATAAAATATGGACATAAAAATACTTTGCACTTTTATAGCACTTCTTCCTTTAGAATTAGATAACTTTGCAAGCATTACTTCTTAGTATATCATACGGAGATAAGAACTGTATTCTAAAACAGAGTAAAGCCAACATAGGAAGACTGCATGACTTGCCCAAAGTCAACTGAATGAATCAATGTTACAAAAAGAATCCAGTCCAACTTCCAGTCTCAGATCTAACTGTATTTGTTTTGACAAGTACCTCAAAAGTAGGTTTTGATTTCTGGACCCAAGAAAAGAATTAAAACATGGATTAACTTCTCTTTCCAGTTGATACAGTTGAACAGCTCTTGGATCTTCAAAAAACTGGTGTCTTCCAGATTGCCATTCACGTTACTTTTGAAGATATTTACATACCTTTTAATCTCTAAAGATAAAGCATTTATTGCTAAAGCATGGTCTGTATACCTGAACCAAACAAGAAGAGTGACAGAACCAAACTCCTCAATTAGTGTTAGCTGAAAACATTAAGACATCCTTTGCTATCTACTTATATCCAGGTTTAATGCCAAATCCTGTACTCAAGTAATTATGCCTTAATGACAGCTCCCCGTGCACATTTTGGGACAGAATTCTGCCCTACTTTCCTGAGTTGTGGTTAGACCTCACCAATCAGCAATATGACCCAAGATTAACTCCAACTACCTGATTCCTGTTTGATCTGAATGGTGGGCTTGATACCAGGTGGCAACTGAGACTGCTGTGGCTGCTGCTGAGCTACAGAAGACTGCACCAGCTGTTGTTGCTGTTGCTGCTGCTGCTGTTGCTGCTGTTGTTGTTGTTTCTGCTGCTGCTGCTGTTGCTGCTGCTGTTGAGCCTGTTGTATTTGGTGCAGCTGCTGTTTGGGGGACTGCTGATGCTGTTTGGGAAACTGTGCTAAGATCTGAGTTGGATTCCCAACCAAACCTTTTGGGGAAGGTAGTCTGGTAGAGGCAACTTTAATTGCCGATGTAGACACACCTGTGAAAGAGTAAATGGTTTAAGACTGAACAGCGCAACACAAGAAAAATACTACACTTTCTTAAATACTTTTGCATTTAAACTGTCTTTTCTACTGAAAGATGCATAGATATACATGAGTAAAAAAAGCTCCCACATAGCAGAAGCACTCTGTTCAGAGGCAAGGGAGCTTTAGGCAGATTTTCAGTGCGGCAGCAGAACAGCAGCTAATGGAAAGACCACAATCCCAGTCTACTTCCTGCATCTTTTGTAGTACAAATAATTCACAAATGTGTTTCAAAGCCTGCTCTTTAAGCTTCAAGAAAGCGAAGTATTTATAGTGAAAATCATGACTACAAAAAGTTAGGATATGAGGATGACAACTATGAAACCCATCAACATTAGAAGCGAGTATCTGTTAGTGAGCGCAATACTATTTTAAAAGAATGAATCAATTAATGGTATGTAATTTAGAAAACTGTGGAACACACATTTTTTTTGCTGATAGGTTAGATGATCTTACAAGTAATAAAGTGATTATAACAAGTAAGATGGAAAGACAAAGTTCCCAAATAAATCTTAATACTTATTTCTCTCGTTCCCTTACATAGTTGTCACAGCATTTCCAGCAAAATTTGGCTTAGTCTATAATTCTAAACTGCACATCCATAAGCACCAAAAAAGACAAACATCAAGTCCATGTCTTATGAAGGCAGTTTTTAACCAAGTCCCAGCTGTAGTGAAAAATAGAAAGAAAGTCTCCTCTCTTATTTCTCTACATTTACAGATGGCAGTGATAATGACAGAAATCATAATAAACTACAATTCTGGCCATCTAAATAAGCAACCCTTTTCTCACTGCATCATCTAAGATGGTTTCTCCATTTCCTTGGTCAGCTATTTTCATTCATTAATTTAACTTTCTTCACATTTGGAGTGATTACCAGTTTATGTCACAAAACATTTCACCAGCATCTTCTGCAATGACACTGATAGTCTTGAAAAAAACAAAAACCCTGTTAAAGAGATATTCCATCTACTGTATTTGAGAATTATAGCCTCTTCCATGATCAAACCCAACTAAAAATCCATAGTTCAAACAATATGAAATTCTGCTGTAAGCCCTTGTGCTCTGTAGAGTAGTATCTTCAGAACCTGATTAATAGAAGCAATACGGAAGGCAAAATCTCCTCAGCATTGAGCTGGTTGCCCAACTTTTTGTGGAATGGAACAAGAATGGAAAATATGGACCAGGAAAAATTGCCGTGTGACACTTGTCATTGTCAGGCGCAGTATTTTTCAAGTGCTGGTCACTGAGGCCCTCTCATTCATCCTCAGCTTCCCTTCCAAATGTTAGCTAGTGGCTGCAGAGCTGAATCAGTCAAGCTAGCATACATGGCTGGAATTAGAAATCAGGAACCCAGGAATTTTAATCCAGGCCCACTCAGATCTTAATTTTTAAGGACTTGAAAACTGGTAAGCTGATAAAATATATAGATAAAAAGGTGTAAACACTTCTCTGCTGCTCAGAACTGTCATCAAGATTAGTTACCACAAGAAATATTCTAAAGACTAAGCACATCAAGCATAAGTTGTATTTATTTGATGTTAACTTTGCATGTTTTTGTAAATCAGGCTTTAAGAGAAGCAATCATCTTCAAATATTGGAAACATCCATTTTCCATGCATCAGATAGTTCTTAAAAGCCAGTCATTTTGAGGCTATGATGTTTTAATGCTGCAAGTAAAATCTTTTCAAAATAAAAAAAGCTATGCCACATCGTCTCATCACTTTCTCTTTAAAAAGAGAATCACCACATTAATTGTTGAAGTAAAGAGGGAAAGTGTTCAACAAGAACTTTTGTAGTGTATCTTGGATTAGTTTCACCAGTAGACTTCTCTCACATCTCCTGTGCTTTACTAACTACATAAACATAAAGTAAACATAAATGTAAACACAAACCGCATCTCCCCTATGCTATTCTCAAAACAAAGTCCAATTTATCAGTAAAAGAGCTTTTATAAATATAATGTTATTGCCATACCTTGTGCTACTGTTGACATAACCACTGATGGCGTTGATGATACTACAGCAGTCACAGCAATAGTATTCGCAGTACAGGAGGGAGTGGAACAGCTACTGCTGCTGCTGCTGCTACTGACCAAAGAGGACTGAGAAGCAGTTATAACCACTGGTTGCTTTTGAGTAGTTGAGGCAATGACTGATGTCGGGACAAGTTTCGTAACTGCTGCATAGTTGTGGGACTTTGAAAGGATGTTGGGTACAAAAGTTGAGCTTGGAGAGGTGGTTACTATTATCACCTGAAAGAAGAAAAAGAACAAGAAGAAATTCATTTGTTCTTTGCATTTATTTAAAAGCACAAAATTTCAGTAGTATATCTGCCTGTGTATTTAGTTTTAGGGATACATGTGTATTAAGTGTCATATTCACATTTGCCAGCAACAAAAAATTTCAGTTAGTTTGAATAAACGGTGATAAACATTTTCCTTAAAATCAGAAGGGTTGTTTGGTGGTTTTTGGGTTTTTTTTTGAGGAAAACAATTACTATCTAATTAAAGTAGAATTATCTCATGTCTGAAGGCCAACAGACAGGAATGAACTGCTTGGTTTCATTAAACTGGGCCAGGAAGCCTGAAGCCCATTTTAAAATGGAACTGAAGGGATTTCAAGCAAGTTTTAAACACCATTCTCCCAAACCCTGCACGTACATCAAGAAATGGCAATGAGAGAACAGATGATTTTTTTTTTTTTAACTCTTTAACAATTAACAAGCAGTTGCCGAGTCAGTAATGGCAAATATTTTTGATCCACAAGGCTATAAACAATCAATATTTCATCAGTGAAAAACCTGGTTTAGGTTTAAAACAATTTCTGCTTTAATTAGTGCTCTCAATAACAAGAAATTCTTTCTTATCTGTCTGAAAACCATTTGTCTAAAGACAATAAACATTACCCCTAGTGCGAGTTACAATTACAACACCATGAATCTGATTTGACATAGAAAAACACAGAATTCATTATAACATCAGAAGAGGCCTGTTCTTATGCAACTGACCTAGAAAACTAAGCATTTTTTAAGTATTGAATACGGGGACTGTTTATGTAAAGAGATTCCTTTTATTCTGCTCGTATGTACCTCCTTGTAGTTACAAGCACACAGTTAAAATACCAACACACAGCACAGAAATACAACATATTTTCAGTTTACCATGCAAGAATATTGAGAAATAATGCAATTGTCCCAACAAAAAAATGTCATTTATTAAATCTTTGAAAATTAAAACTTATTAATGATTTGACATAACAAAAGCGGATAGAAAAAAGGTACAGAAGGTGCAAAGAAAACCTGGGTCAGCTCAAATGAAAAGTCTTACACTACTACCCAAGGACTACTGAAACCTTGCCTGATAGAGAAAAGAAATAACATGATAATGGCACCAGAAATAGACTTAAGTGACAGATCAAGCAGTAAGAGATTAAGAGTTTATAATTTAAAAAAAAGAAAAAAAAAAGAGATAACCACATGGATGGAATAAAAGCAGCAAATTTCACCACCATGGCTGCCTCTGCCTCTTCTTTCCTCCAGTGCTTAGTTTTATGGTCCCTGCTACTTAGCTAAGCCTTTAATATCTTGATCTGAGGAAAACCAAAAGCTTAGTACCTCCACGAGCTACAGCAGTTTGACCACAACTGACCAATGCCTGAAGCACAAGCTTTCCACATCTGCTGCTCTACCACTTTACTGCATTCTCCAGGGAGAACGTTTTCGCTGCGTCGCTCTTACTTTTGCCTTCTGCCTAACCTTGAGTTAATCAAAACACCCTTCTGAAATTGCTTTTAGGTTATGACCACGTCGACGCTGCTTGATTCTGGTACAAGGCTTGCAGGTGGAAAGATCCTACAATGTGCCTCTGGAGTTTTATCCTGTTTCTCAAATAGTCAGTTAACACTAGAAATATTTCTCAAGTGTTTGAATTTTCGGGCCAGCTCCATTCCACCTAGAATAAGTAATCTAGGAATGCAGTCAAAGGAGGAGACCTTAGTGCGGCCTTGCAGTACTTAAAGGGGGCCTACAGGAAAGATGGGGAGAATCTTTTTAGCAAGGCCTGTTGTGACAGGACAAGCAATAATGGATTTAAACTAAAGAAGAATAGATTTAGACTAGACATTAGAAAGAAGTTTTTTACAATGAGGGTGGTCAAGCACTGGCACAGGTTGCCCAGAGAGGTGGTCGATGCCCCATCCCTGGCAACATTCAAGGTCAGGTTGGACGGGGCTCTGAGCACCCTGATCTGGTTAAAGCTGTCCCTGCTCACTGCAGGGGTTGGGCTGGATGACCTCTAAAGGTCCCTTCCCACCCAAAGCATTAAAAAAAAAAAAACCCCAAACCCAAAATACCCCCCAAAACCTTGCAGTCAAGAAAGGCAGATTATTCACATTAAACTTCCTATAAAATCCGTAGGGCAACAGGGCAAGTTCAGGGTCTCAGCTAAGTAAGTACAGACATGTAGGATGAATCTGGGCATAATCACAACTCCTGAACACCACTGTTCTTCATTCAAAGACAGAGATAAAACCATCAGTCCACAATTATCACTTAATAACACTTTATTTAATCATGCAGGGAAAAAAGCTTGTAAAGCATTATAGTTTAACTATGGTTGCTGTCCTGTGACTAAGCAGGTTTGGGTCTCTATTCTGTTTGTTCTTTCAAAATTAACACAGCATAACAAAATTTAGCGATCTTCATGCATGAAGTATATCCAGAAAACAGAATTTTCAGGTCAAAATTTAAAAGTATTAAAGCTCAAGTCGTAACAATTGTATTTTTTAGATACTATTTTCTCACATATGTTGAAATGATCAAAGTAACCTCATCATGGGTACCAAAACTGCATCACAGACTGCCTAATTAAAAAAAAAAAAGCAAGCTGCTTTTTTGTTGTTGATTTTAATTGTTAAGGTAAAAACTAATTCCTAACATACACTGAAATTAGTTCTTTCAGCTCTACTTTGAGAGACATCAAAACCTAGTCCCTGAAGAACTAAAGGCATTAACTGCCAGAAGCTTCACCAGCTAGATTCCTTCTGTGTCCTAGACAGAGGACTTTATTATAAGAGAATCCAGAAATTGGAGCTGTGACATGTTACGACAAATCTTCCTCCAACCTACCAAAATGTCAAAACAATTCAGAAAGCTGGCATGCAGAAACAAAGAATTTCATTCATATCCAACAGCACTTGTTTAAAATAGTACATTTCTAATTTGAGTGTAACAAGTCTGACATTTAATTTAAAACTACTAAAAGGCATTTCTCCCACCAAAACGATCCAGTTATGTATTTTGGCATATCTAAATCCAACAAAAGAGGGCAGTGTGACAAGTTCAGACACAAATGCTACTATGGCTCCCTAATGAAACAAGCGATGATTTTCCTATCGTTGCAGATTAGTAAGAGTCAAATAATATTATGCAAAGCAAACCCTAAAATTTCCATGTCAGAACAAGCAGAGGCACAGCTGCAGAAAAGGTCCTATCAACAGTCCATTCTCTTCCTTTTGGAGATTTAATACACTCCATCTTTAACTACCATGATATGTAACACTCATACTTAATACAACACTACATACGTTTAAGGCAAAAAAAAAATATTCCTGCACAAAAGATGAGCCTAACAAGAGCAACAGGACGGGTAGGCTAAGCCCTATCCTAGCTGTGGATTTGCTGCATTGAATGCAGGATGTTTTATTTGATGGTTTATGCTCACTCATGAATTTCTATACATGTATTCAGAGACGAAACTTGATTAAGGACACTGTTAAAAGACCAGTGAATCAAATGAAAGCATCAAAGAGCTCTGAAGTGGGAAAAGGCCAGAAAGCAAGTTCTTTATTGCACATTACTGCAGTTAATCTTCCTTGGTTTTAAAGTTTCCAAAAATCGGGACATGGGAACTCTGCTAATCCAAATAGAGTCATAAAACAATTAAGACGACTAATAGAACAAATACCCTGTGAAGGTTTGAGCTCTATAGTCAAACTGTCACAGTTGGAAAAAAATGCTTATTAGTGGCCAGCCTACCATCAGTCTGTCAGTATCAAGGCCAAATTAATTCCACAGAGCACCCCCCCAAGCCTGCCTTAATTAATAACCGTACCAAGAATGAACTTGGTCTGAGCCATTAATCTTTTTTTTTTAAATCTTAAGAACAAAAAAAAAAAAAAAGTAGACGCATCTGAAATGCTTCCTAAAGCATGGAAAAAATAGTCATGTCATAGATAAGGCACATAAAAATCTAAGTCCAATACAAAACTTCCAACACGGAAAACCTTTTCCACACACTGCATTCTGGTGAAAGCTGGGCACACTCAGCTGAAATAATGCAACCAATTTTGATCACTATAGCACTGTTAATGTAGAATGAGAAATGGCACACTAGTACTGAAAGGAAAATAAAGCCCCCCAGTCTTTGATCAGCTCCAAGAATAAGCTTTATAGACCCCAAAAAACTAGTCCCTAGGCAAAAGGCTTGGCAAGGTAAATCCCATGCCACCTTTCCTGGAATTCTACTACTGCAAAGAGTAATTATAAATAAGGAAAATAGAAATAAGAAAGATTACCTTTGACCAATAGTTGTTACCATCTGAAGGCTGTTCAGTGGCCTATGTGATCCAGTTCTCAGTGGACTAGTGTCCATATCACAAAACCCAACACCACAAATGGTACTAACTGGCAACCTTGTTGGCAGTCTCACCAGAGAGGCCAAGAATTGAATGAGCATGGAGACTGAATCCCCTCTCATCCCTAGAAGTGGTCCCTTCAGGTCAGGGTTGAGGCACATTGGTGGGGCAGTCTGGGGGAAGCTTGCACTCCCGCTGCCTGTGCTGTACCTGTTCTGTGGATAAAAAGAGGGCTTCAGTCTCCACGGCTGTCAATCCAGGTCCTTTCACACACAGGTGAACTAAATTCATACACGAGTTTGGTTTTCTCTTTGTTTGTTTTAAAGAGGGATTACCTTATCCCAAGTGCAATCCTTAAAAAACAGCTAGACAGTTCATAGAAAGGAAGAGTCAAACATCTCATCTTATTCATTTGATAAAACCAGAATAAAGTAACATTTGGCGGCTTCCCCCACATACCTTCTGTGTTGTCGTGTTTGTTGTCTGTGTTGAGGGCTTAGTGAAGGTTATTTTCACAGGCGACATGTGTGGTGGTAAGGAGTTGGCAATGCTCTGCATTATATTACTCATCTTGGGGCTGCCACTTACAGGCACTGTGATAGTTTTAGTGACAGGAGTCACTGCCTTCGGGACTTCTTTCAGGAGAACAGGGGAAGAACTAGAAGAATTCGTTCGCCGTCTTTTGCGGGGCTTTTCATCATCATCTGAGCAGCTGACACCTGGAAAAGAAGTACTTTTTCTAAATTATATTTTCCCCATTTGCAGCTCTCAGTGCTTTCTAAACCACTTCAAACTTGCTGAGTCTTATACCCACTTTCAAATAAGAGAAAAAGAAACAGAGGACAAATTATTTCTTACGGTCACAACTAATCTGTATCACAGGTTAGTGATGGTCTTAGTCCTTGACATAGACCACACTTAAACTGCCATAAAGCAAAGAAACAAACCCCCAAAAACCCAAGCTACTCAGTTACTGGGTTACTTTATTCAGTTTAAGAGATCAAATGAACATAAGAGCCAGTACAGGGATGTCATTCTGCCTCCAGAAGTTTGACTAATGAGACTCCGCACACAAGAGGTTTGGCATAACGTCATGCACATTCCAGTTTAAAACTTTATGCTACAAGGCTGTTGCTGGTTTTGTTTACAGCAACTGGACTACTGAAGTTTATCCTCCTGTAGTCTTCTCTGATTTCAACCTTGTAGCTACTTTCATGCCATGTTTATCATTACAGTACTCTTCTCCCTTTCACCTCAACACAGCATCTTGAGATCCTTTCTTTTTTTCATGACATACTTCAGTTATGAAGGTCAAACCTCATTTTATCAGCTTCTGTCTTGTTTGGTGCATTTTGTGCAACAGATATAAAATGGCACCTAGCACATAATCATGAAAAACAAAAGAAATTCGGCCTCAAAGGAGTTCATTCTTCCTCACAGTCTTCTACTGCACACACTAAAAAAAAAAAATCTGCTGCAATATTCAGCTTAGCAAAGGATAACAGCGTGATCAATGGATCTTAAAGCCATATAAAATTTTCCAAAGTAGACAATAGGTTCATAAATTAGTATACATTACAGAAAGACACAGTTTAATAACCTTGAAAATCTCTTACAGCTACTGGGTAGCATTTACGTTTACCAAATTACCAGTGTTAAACAATTTTAAAAAACAGAGATAAGCCAAAAAGATGCAATCCCCCCTACGCAGAACAAGACTGAAGATCTTGTTCTGTATGCCTGGGGCTTAAAGACAAAAAATGCTGTCATGGCAAGAAGCAGTCTTGCTGGTAACCCAAGCAAACTTGGTTGGCAGTCAATCTCTAATTAGGGTCAAGATGTAATTATGGTCAATCTCTAATTAAAATAACTAAATATTCTAGCATTCAGAAAGTGAAGACGCAGGAATTAACATGGACAAGAAAGTGCCCAGTAGCACAGCAAGTGATTTCTGAAAAATGGGATTCTCTCTTCGTATGAGTACCAGGTCATTTGCAGGCACACTTCAGAAGGCTGACAGTTGTATCCACACAAAGATGGGAAACTGAACTAGAGAAGAGAAGCAAAGGCTCTCTTTTAAGTTTGCTTTGAACTCCAAAAAATAGTTTTAGCTGGCTGTGGCAGTACAGATGAAGTGTGGATCTATGAGTCTGGATTTCAAAGCTCTAATCAACAATTTACTGTATGGCCCTGAACAAGCCTAGTGGTGATCTCCATCTATAAAGCAGAGATTTGGTTACATGACTTAAAAGCCTGTTCATAATACACCTTAAAGTATCACTGTGAGTACACTACACAAACTTACAACTGTGAGGTCACTAATCACATTGAAAATGTGGAGGAATTTCAGAATCCATTTGAATCAAAAATCCACATGCAGCTAGGATGTTAGGACACAACTGTTATTTTGGTGGGTCACCAAGAAATACTGAAGAGAAAGCTATTTGTTTGTGGCCCTCATCCACAAAAAAAACCTCACCACCCAAACCAACACAGAAGAAAGAAAGAAAGATTAAACTAGCAGAACACTATTTTATATTAAGTACAGCTCATTTCACCTCCTGTTTCCACTGCTGGGGTTCTGCAAGAATGTTATTCCTGTAATTTCATCTTAGAAACTGCCTTTGCACAAAGTTTTCCACAAGCATTCAGCTGAAAGGTAATACAGCTTGACTATAAGTCACACTTGACAAGCAAGGAAGCAGAGGCACAGAGGGGTTAATGGCTCAATCAGACTGTGACTTGGGTGAGGTCACACGACAGATCAGTGGCAAAGTCATGACTATAACTCAGGCCTCCTGAGTTTGCTCTTAAGCAGGTTTCTTAAAACTAATGTGACTGATATAACACATTCTGAAAGACATGTGATCCCTTATTAAAAAAAAAAAAAAAAAAAAGAACAAAATGAAGCATACAAAGTGAGGAAAAAATGAAATCTAGGGATGGATGGAATAAAAGTGAGAACATTTCATCCCTCTATTGTGTGTCTAGACTGGTTTTATACTCATTACCGTGTAATAATTCAACAGAGGTCTAAATTAAATTTTTAAGACGTTAAGAACATTTCCCCCTGAATCTTTAAACCAAAGCTGAGTGATTAGTGCATTACATCAGAAAAACAAAAAAAATTAACGTAACAGGTTTCATGGGTTGTCCCAGCCATTAAAGATGGTGGTTTGCAGGTAACATTATATTTAGATACAATGTGACATTTCTGACTAGCTAGAAGTTTGTATAAACATGCAAATATAGCATACAGATTAAAATAATTTTTAAAATACTAAAGGTATCCACAGCAAGCATAAAAATAGCGCTTATCAACCTCACTATTAATCTTTATGTGTCACCTGCATTTTGATAGACACCAAGTAAGGAAACATTTTTAATTATTAGTTAAATAAAACTACCTTTGATGAGCTGGGCATAAATATGAGGATGTATTCTGCTTTTAGAACTAGCTGATTTATCAGCCAAAGAAAGGACGGGGTGGGGGGCAAGAAAGAAAGACTGTTTCTAGACATTATGCCCTGGATTTCCAAATTTAAATACAGGAAGATGGGTATCTGGCAGGATTTCTTATGGAGTTTTCACAGTTGCCCGGGAACGCAAGCCTCACTAAGATTTACTTCCAAATAAATCACAAAATGGCCAGACATAGTTAATGTAAGCATATCAATGCTGGCCAAACTACTGTATTCTAAAAAAAGTCTAGGTCAACTGTGAAAGTGGAAAGGAGGCACCTTTTCTAACTCAAATAAGTGACTACTATGCATTATTTAAGGAGAAGGAAGAGGGAAGTCCTCTGCAGAAGCAACCAGCAGAGCCACCTTAAAGACAAGTTCTGAACAAGCTGGATTAGAAATCCACTGATATGCAGCAATTCCTGTATTTTATTTTCAAAATACTTTTCACTCTTGCCTGCAGCATTTTACAGTGAGTGGATTTATCCTGAACACAATACCTCTGAAAAAGGGAAGCAATAAATTCATTCTTTAGTCTAAACAAAGGCATAAAGGTATTAAATGACTTGCCCAAGGTCAGAGTGTTTAACTCAGTCCATGCTTCAGCCACAAGACTGTCCCTTTCTTTCCCTTTTGTTAATCAGTTGCTAGTATCACTTACTTTTGACGTAAACAGTACTTCCACTTGGCAAGACGACTACATTGGAGGCTGGACTGGCGGGTCTGGGGGACTTCACTGTTGCTACACTGCCACTTGGAACAGGGGTGGATGTTGGGGTTGAAGTGGTACTTGTGTAGGAATAGCAAACCACCACTGAAGAGGAGAAAAGACACCTTCCATATAACTGAAGTGCAGAATCCCATTATTCTATCACTATTTTAACAACTGAAATGGAAGCCAAAGACTTATTGGGTCATTATCCACATCTTTGCCTCTGCAATCCTGTTACCGTTGAATACTCCCCAGTTTGACCTAAGCACAGCCATGGAATTAATGGCCTTCAAAGACAACATAGAAATCTACCCTCCCCTCCTCCCATGCCCAGAAATCTGTGCTGCCGATTCTAGATTTTTTATTTGTATTAATCTGATATTTTACTTTATTACTTTTCATTTTAGCATTAATTCAATATTTCGATCTTTTTGCTTTTCTGTAAATGACCATATCTAGACTGGTAAAGGACAGAAAATAGCTAGTGCCTTTCCTCAGCGGTACAGCCATTGAAGAAACCAAAATATTCCTTCAGTAATGAACAACGATTTTGCTAATCAGCTTTTTTTTAAACCGTTGCTTATAGCTAATAGTATAATGATCCAGTATTTCTCACAAAACCAGAATAAAACAGCCTATTTCAAGAAGTGTTACACATTCTCTAGTTGCATGAAGCATAATTCGAGCCTATCCAGCCAAGTCAGATGGAATGTGTACTAGCATTATTTAAAAGGCATAGGGAAAGCAGAAAGTAACCTTTTAACTTGTTAACTTGGTAAGTTTAATCTGAAGTATAAAAAAAAGGAAAAAGAAAACCAACAAAATCTTCTTGACTTTCACCAAAACCTAGTTGCGTTCTTAAAATAAAATGTTCTGAAACATCTTTCATCACTTACAGAACTTTACAAAAATCTTAAGCCATCGGTGCAAGTTTTTATAGCTTACAGAGCTTAACAAGTTACCCAGTGAATTTCCCCCTCATTTGCTGACAATTTTTTTTTTTAATTTTGGTTGCTAGTGTGCTCACTAACACGCAACTGTCAGATTTATGCTGCAGATGCTGCAAAGGCATCTTTTACAAAAAAAAGAGATTTTTTTTCATGTTTCTATGAATACTGTGCAATAAGAATTATTCAGATTTTTTTTTTTTAAATCTAACACTTAAAATCTAAGATAACAATTTATACTGTGACATTATTTTTATATTCCCATAGATTGCAGTATAATCCCAGCTTTCTCTCACCTTCTTTGTTTCCAGTTTCTGCAGGAACTGGAAGAGATGCGTTGTGCTGAACAGCTGCATTGGCAACAGCATTAGCGGTAACAGTAAAAGCTGTTTGTGGAACAAGCCGTGGCATCAGCGGCACCAGTCGACGACCTTCTATACACCATTCGGAAGAGCTATTTGGTCCAGACATACTAAACAGAAATGCACATTCTGTAAGTATTCTGCTGAGTTTCCAAAATGCTCAGTACTCTTACTTAAGTGCCTCTTTTCAACAGTGAATGTCTAAGAGGCAGTTTCTGAAGACATACTAGAGCAATAATCTTCAACTTCCTTCATCTCATGAAAGCCCGTACATTTTTCCCACCTGATGTAGAAATCCTCCCATAGGAAATTTAAGACTTGCTGCTTCTTTTACTGTTTTGTTTCACAGAGCCCTTCAAGGGCCGGAGGTCTGTGGATGTCATGTTCAAAATCCCCATATGAGATTAGCTACTATTCAGGTAGAGTTGGCACACTCTCTGCTTCTGGATGACAAAAATACCTAGACATCCAATAGATTTCAGAAGACTACTGAAATTGTTTACGTTACAGGGAAAAACCCTTGGTTTCTAACACGAATCTTGTTTTACCTGAACAGAAAAGTTTCCCGGATTTATTAAAGTAGTCCCAAACAAGGTAACAGAACGTTAAATGATTTAAATACACCCTGCGCATCTTCCTCAACAGAAACCAGTCTGCTGCTCTCGTTTTCTCTTAACCTTCGTACTTACACACAAACCAGAATGCTTCCAGAAAATGCCGTTCTTATCTAGATGGAGAAGCATTCCTGACTGTTTTACATGAGTCATTTGTCAAATCAGCAAAACCAAAATGGCAAATTATTTTTCAATGCTGTTATGTTCTTAAGCAAATCAACCCATTTAATGTATTAATATATTCTGAAAAACAATTTCTCACGTGAACTACTGCAAGCAAGTTGCAGCAAAAGGTACCACAAATTAGTTCGTAAAATGCCGAAGATCTGCTCTGTTGTTAAATCCTGATACGCTTCAGTGTTCTTCATACATATTCATATAGTATAAGCAGAGCTACATCAGCTGAGGTAAAAATACATTTTTTTAAATCAAAAATAAGACTACAAATGTTGCATACAGCAAAGCTAGCAAAGTCGGCTTTCCTAATGAGTTAGAGAATTATTAAGTCAAATACTGTATTACCAACCATCATTTACAAAGAATTACCACAGGAAAAATAAAGAGATGCAGCACTTCACAACTGCACCTTGCCTGGATTATAATATCTCATCCGTCTGAAGTTCAACACCTCAGGACAAACTTTATGCTTGTTCTGTAAAATGCTAAAAACAGAACTACTACTTGAAAAGGAAACTTGATTCAAGAAAAGAATCTTGATTTGACAATTAAATGCTGCTTATTCATTAGTTTTTCCCCTTTCTTTAATGAAGTGTAAGGAATTTGGTGGGTTTTGTTTGGTAAAGAGCCTGTTTCTAACTCTCTAAACTTGAACATTAAAACACTAAAATGTTAAATGTCCTTCCGCAGCACTAAAACAGTATGCTGATTTTGGTGAGTCTTAGAAAACTGCTAAGTCCAAATGGCCTGTTATTTGCATGATTTCCTTTTTTTCTCCCCGTAACACCTAAGCTACAGGAGTCAAACTTAAAAATCAATGGCTGCAACAGAAAAAGAAAGGAAAATACAGAGAGTTACAATCCAGCTCTTAACAGCAAGACCGTTAAGTAACTATCAGAGATACGTAAGCACTTGCCCTCTTGCTCCTCTCCACCTCTCAAAATCATGTGCAGCTTGCGAAAGCAAACGCAAGGAGGAACCAGCCCAGTTGATGCCAGCACAGCAGCTGCACCAAGCGGAGAACAGTGGACACTGATGTCATCAGTTAGCTTGCTGCAGTTTTTTTACTGTGACCATTTTTTCCCCCCTCTGTGCTGATACACTGTTTTCCACTAATCTCCG